AAAAATCATTCATTCCCTTCTACAGTGGTGCTACATGGATTCAAAGATGTGGAGAGATCAAAACATTACATTCAATGGAAAGAAGAGGCAACCTCAATGTAGCTTTCTTTCCCCTTTGCCAGAACTTATTACCCAGTCTCGGTGTGACACCTTTCTTCCCCAGAGACCTATTTTCAGTTGTCACTCAAGTTTACTATCTATCCCATTCCTGATGCCATCTGCCATCTGTAGAACTTCTAGCACCATTTTCTACTTTTTTTCTCCCTCACAGTTCCTTTTTGCTCACTTTCCTATTGTCAGCTTTTTCCTCTTCTCTTCTCCATGCCTTTAGATTTCCTTTCTCAGATCTCTTGGTCCCATTTTTTGCTGGCCTCTGCTTTGCTTAGACTAATGTYTCCATCTGGGCCTTTCTCATTTCGCTCCATTGCAAGAAAGTGCATCTTTTTTTAAGGAAGAGTCTTCCTCAATCAGAATTAATTTGCCTGGAATACAAATTCCTAAGTGGAACATGCAATGCTATGCAGAAATTCACTAGCTAATTATAGGATTTCCTTCTCCTTCCTCTTCCTTCTCTCTCCATTATTCTTACTCACTTTCCTTGGAATCCACTCAAGTATTCCCTTTCCCTTTCTTTCTACACAGCTTACTTTTCAGATCATTTTGCCTACGTGCTGTACTTAAAGCTAGTTTTAATTCTTATTTTGAACRTTTATCATTTATTCTGCAGCTCACGCTCTGTTCACTGACCTCCTCTTCATGCCTAGTTACAGCATGAACTACCTTCAGAGAATTACAGAAATCTATTCCAGGTCAACTGTGGTACCAAGCATAAAACCTAAGAGGACAGACAGTCTCTCAGGACAGAATAAGTGCAGRTAGACCTGGAAGATCTTAAGTAGCATGGCAAAAATGAAAAGATTAGAGAATAAAGATGTAAGGAACTGCAGGAAAAACAGTGAATAAAGAGAAAAAAAAAAGCTAGCGTAGAGACAAACTTCAGAAGACAAGTGTTGAAAGACAAAGACTTGGGTCAATGGGGCATGAGGACATATATATCTTTATATGACGGTTATATACTTATGAATATATAAGTTCATATATATTCATATATATTCATATATATTCATATATATTCATATATATTCATAAGTTCATATATATTCATATACATATGAATATATAAGCACTGAGGTATGGTCCACTTCAGAATCAGACCTGAACTCTGGGTTCCTTAGTTACAATATTCCCTCCTACCCTTTATAAGTAGCTATGAAATCTACTAGTAAACTGTCTCTTTTAAGGAATATCAGACTACTGCTACTACTGCTTACTTACTCAAAGGGATAAACGTATGCACATATGCACCATGAATTTTCAGTATGCAGGACTCCCCATACTGAGGTCCAGAGACTGACTTATTTTTCATAAGGGTGCTCTAAAAAAATGCATCACCCTCTTCCCACAGCTTATTATATTTAAAATATTTTTTAAAAAGACAGAAATACCCTGAAGAATATCCCTACTGCAAAATCAGAAGCATAAAATTAGCATATCTTAGGACTGCATTTGCCTACGCAACCTTAATTCAGCCCGTCTTGAGTATTTAGATGAAAAGGCACTGAAATGCTAGCTTTCTTGAAGTGAGATCTTTGTCACGGACTTCAAACACACCAGTGTTCCAAATATCATCTTTACCTAGACACTTACATATTTAAAATGTATTTTTTTCCACAACATCCTTTTCTCATTCATTCCTATCATTCTCTGAATGAAAATCTACTTTTTCCTATATATACAATGTGTGGCCTACTGCATATATTTACTTATTTACTGCATGCAAATAAAGCCTACATCAAACAGAAAATTAAAAAAATGCTCATAGTTGTTTTTTTCAATCACAAAATCTTATAATTCTCCTGAGTGTTACATTTGTCATGAACGCATCTTCAGATTTTTTTTTTTTTAAACAACTTGTATTACCAATTCTGTATTGTAGATTGGAACCTGGAACACAGAGAAATACAGGTGGATTTATCTAATATCCACTAACTCAGATCTCTGAGTTTTATATAGGTCTATTTGTTTCCCACGTCTTAGGTGGTTTATGTTTATAGCATTAAAGTTTATTTCAATTGTTTTTATTTCAATTATGAGCTTCCAGCATTTCTGAAAATCAGGCTACAGTTTTTCTATTAGACATTCAGAACATAAAGTTTACACAAACGAGTGATCACGTATAGAAAGTCTGAAGTAATTGTCAAATCTGCTGGATGCCAGAGACCAGAAATCAGAATCCTGCCTGCAGATCCTAGACTCACTATGCAGCATGTAAGGCAAATGAGATGCCCTGCAGAGCTGGACCTAGTGCCACCTTCTACTTAAGGGAAGTTCGAGGCTTCTCATCCCACCTTGGTTGGAAGGATCCTGATTATGAAGCTACAAACAATTTCATYGGTGCATAATAAAAAGTGAAGATGAAGATTTGCTCCAGTGCATGGGTGAACTCCACTTCCAGTTAAGTCAATGAGACTGTTGTCAGTGCAAATGAGGCCTCGATTTTGCTTGCACAACATGTATGTGCTGATACATCATGTGATAACTGRGTAAAGCTATGTCTTAGGAATTAAGGATTTACTGATTTAGCACTTGACTTGTTCATCCTTCTTAAAGCAGTGATGTCCTGTGACATCATCTTTGGATGCTCTCATTGATTAACTCTGAATCTGTTTCTATGAAGCATCTTAACTGGGTCTTTTGCAGCTTGTTAAATTAAATGAAAGGTTTAATGACAAAGTGATTGGGAGTAATCAATTAACTAAAGTAACTGCATGGTGCATGTGTGCACAGAACAGAAGTTGTTTACAATAATCAGAAATGGAGACCTGTAGCTGCTGCATATGCTGAAAAAAACAGAGATAATGAATAGCAGGCATATTTAGGGATTTCTCTGGACTCAGATATAACTCTATTCAGATGCAAATGACATGTCAGGAGCAAAAGCTTTGATGACTCTATCAATGGTATATGAACTTGTACTGAGAAGCATCTGCTCTGTATGTTAACCTGACAAAAAACATCACAAGTCACRAACCTGCACAGTATAGAGAACCATGGAAACAGGTATATGTGGCAAGCTGCAGCTAGATTCAACTAAACTAGTGTAATAAATTGTTAAAAATGTGTGATGTGTGATGTGTGATGAGGGACTCAAATTATAATTCAGTATTAACATGTTTTCTCCAGTTCTTCATAGCCAATGACTGTGGCTATGCTAAAGTACTGTGTGTGGCAGATATGTATTCATTGGTTTAGTGCTTCATTTACCAGAATTGCAAGGATTAGGAAAGAGCAACAAAAGTCAAAGGCTAATGCTATTTCTCCCACCTGGACATGTGTAGATTCCAAAAATGAAAATAAAATAATTCAACCTAAAAAGACTAGCACAGAGGAATCCCATTAGAGAAAAGGGGCTCTACGACCCAAATGGCAATGGAGCTCCTGAATACATCCGACTTTGTTACAAATAYTTATGGGTACTTAGAAATTGGTATTACTAGCCAACAAATATCTAGGTGAATTTTTGCACTAATACTGAGTTTGGCATAAGGTAATGCACTAAGTGCTCAGTCCAAGGTGACTAGTGGAGCTGAAATCTTTTGTACTTGCAACCTGTATTTGTAGTGACATTTTCAAATGAATACTCAATAGTTAAAYACATAATGTGCAGAAATGGTTCTTCCTGCAAAGTCTAAAATAGAAAAAAAGCACAGGATAACTAGGTAGTTGCAGCGTAGGGGCCTACTATGTCTAATTTCCAAACCTGTTTAAGAAGATAACCCTTYTGCAGTACCACTACAGGTTTATTAATTCATGTGCAAATTGCAAGTGTGAATGCAAATTCTGAAGCTACTCTGCAGTTTTTCACTCAAGTAAAATTCCCATTTAAGTCGAATGAAATCTTTGCACCTAGCATCATTTAATAAAGCAACTTTTACATTTTATTCTGCTGGAGAACTGGGCCTTTGACCCAATTCTGTAATTCCAGAATTCAGTCCTCATTTGAATTTCTAAAGGACTCACAGTACTCATCTAGCTGTCACACAGGGATCAGAACTCTAARGTGGACTTTAAGGGTCTACCAAGGGTAGATTTTATTCGAGTTATCTCACAGAATCATTAAGGTTGGAAGGGACCTCTAGAGATCATCTAGTCCACCTCCCCTGATCTAGCAGGAACACCTAGAGCACRTGGCACAGGGTGGCATCCAAGTGGGTTTCGAAGGCCTCCAGAGTAGGAGACTCCACAGCCTYCCTGGGCAGCCTGTTCCAGGGCTCTGTCACCTCACAGGAAAGAAGTTCTTCCTCACATGGAGACGGAACTTCCTGTGTTTCAACTTACACCCATTGCCCCTTGTCCTATCACTGACCACCACTGAGAAGAGCTTGGCCCCTTCCTCCCTACATTTACCCTTCAGGTATTTATACATATTAACTAGATTGCCTCTCAACCTTCTCTTCTCCAGAGAAAACAGGCCCAACTCACTCAGTCTTTTCTCATATGATACATGCTCCAGTCCCTTAATCATCTTTGTTTCCCTCCTCTGGACGCTCTCTAGAAGCTCCACATGCCTCTTATACTGAGGAGCCCAGAACTGCACACAGTACTCCAGGTGCAAATTTGCCCTCCAGTGAGGGCAAATCAACTCTAGATCCAACCATGCAAATTTTGAATCTGATTGGAAACAACAGAACTAGTTACACAAACTAATATCATCCAAAGGCAAAGTCAGAGATAGAATTAAGGACTCTAAACTCCAGTGCTTATCTATGGCTTTCTAAAGAAAGAGATATTTTTGCTTAATTACTCCATGCTATTCAGAGTTCACAAATTAAATTACAAGGTCTTCACTAAGAGAGACAAACTATAAGAAGAAATAAGACTGATACACTAAGTAGTTAACATTATTCCCTCATTTATATGCCATATTCTCACACCCTTACCTGCAGTAGCACTGGAGACTGTTGGCCACTGCTGATCAGGCCCTCCTGGTCCTCCACGTAAGATTCCTGCTTCCTCCATATGCACAGCACTGTATAAGCATATATCATGGTTAGATTATACAGTCCCTATAAGTCCTGGGTTTTATAGCACTCCCCTTCTTAGTTATTCTTCAAAATGTCATAACTATTTGTCCCTGTGCAAGCATTGTATCATGCTAACAAAGTTGGCTGGATCACTTGAAAACTACCTCACTTGACTTGCAAAAATCCTTTTTGATTATTTACTATGACATAGTTGCGGCATAATTTATAAAACAAACATATTTCCAGGATGCTTTGCTTGCACTGATTGGCAATTGTTATCAAGGAAGTCTTTGCTTTTATGATGACTTAGCAGTAAAACAAATAAGATAGTTCTCAGTTAGTTCTGAAGCCCTGCTAGTATAGTACTCTCACATACCTTGCTTTCCTGGGCAATGGGTATGTGTTTGGTGAACAATTAAGTAATAAGAAAATAATCTTATGTGGCTACATAATCTTCATAATCTTCTGTGGCTACACAATCTTCTGTGGCTACATATTAATTTTACAGGGTTGCATGGTGAGCATGGKTTTTTTTTAAGCACCATTGCAATTGCTGCACATTTATCAGCACCTCATCATAAAGAAAAATAAAATATATGCTATTTTTTTAATACAAAACTAAGTTCTTATTTGTGTGACTCCTTAGAGAAACTGGATTCTGTGACAGTGTCGTCTCTCCCTGTCTCTGCTCAACTGCCTCAGTTCCTTTCCACTTTCCCTGTTGAAATTAATGGGCAGTTTCAGCCAATTTAACAAATGACAGTGGTCCCAGTAACATCAAATTCCTACATTTCATACAAAAATCAGAAGCTGGACAAACCACAAAGTCTCAAATCTTGAGATCTCAGGGAGGGACAGGAGTTACTGATATGAGAGAACAGAGTGACACAGACACAGTTTCTCAGAAAGGCTTCATTGGCTTCCCCGCTTGCGGGACCAATTGGTTTAAATGAGTTTTTACTTTACATTTATGTACAGGTAACTTAAGGCAAAATCTTGAACTACTTTTAGAAAAAAAAAATGTTAATCTGCAGAGCTAGGCTGACAATATACAAGAAGATGCTTGACTTGGTGGATTGGTAGAGAAGATGTTTAGGCAGGCAGGAGAATTCTTGCTACTGGATCCTCTCTCAGACTCTATTTTGCAGTATGCAGTCAGGGATTAAAAACTAACAGGAGGAACTTAAAAGAAACAAACCAATAAACGCAGATTTTTCTCTACCCAACAGGCCRCAAAATCAAGCTCCTTCCCTCTTCCTTTCCTTCAAGTCTCTGAGATTTATGTTTCTTTTTACACAGCCCAGAGTCTGCTGCAGAGATGCAGAAGCTCGTAGGCTCCTGAACAGTCTCAGGGGTAGGGAAGAGCCTGAGCCTAAGCATTTTCTTTCTGTCTTACGGAGTCTCTTGAGCTCTATAATGGATAATAATAATGGAGAAATGGGTTTGGCCACRGCCCCATCGAACAAAAAATTTGGGGGAAAATATGATGTGCTGAACATTTAGTGCTATGAGGAATTTTTAAGCCTTTTAGTTGCTTCTAAACTTACAACGTGGTCTTATTAATCATGTCAAAGTATACCTGAAAATAAGACTAGTTTGCCAATTTGCTCAGGAAGAGGAAACAAAGACATTATTTTACCAAAGCTCCATAAAAAAGGCTTACTTTTTTTCAGATCTATTGCATAGAAAATTATAGCAGAGAATGGGATGCCTGAGCAGGGATATTTAAAGATATAAATATTTGGAAATGGCATTATTGTGCCTTCTTTGAAAAGAAATGCTCAAAATATCCTTTTAACTGTTTTAATCACCTTGATTGCACCATATTCTTAATAAGATGCCTGCAGGAGCAGTGTACTTTTATGGTAACRAAAAGCAGCAAGATGGAAAATGCTGCAGAATCAATGCCGCAGACAGCAGCCTATTGAAACACATCAGCACAGATGATAACAGGGAGCTTAAAAGTAACCGTAAATTGTATAATCACAGTTAACTAACATAATAATTGTAGCAATTGCGTCTTGACATTCAGTRTATAAAAAGCAGGAGGCAAACACCACAAATGTGCACATCTGCAGAAGGACTGTTGGAGCATAAGATGTAGTCAAAAYGAATCTGTAATATCTATAGACTGAAAGAGACAGCAGCAGAACTCTGATGCTTTCTGTCTCAGCCTACAGATATCATTAGTCTAGGACATCTATGGAGCCTAACAAAAATAAGGTACTTCTTTCTACAGAGGATACAGACAGAATTGCCCTTCATCTCTGRAAGAACAACACATACCTTTGCATTCCTGCCCTTAGGGACGCAGAGTAACGCCAGTCAGGATTKGGGTGTTTTGGCTGTAGAAACAAAAGCCCAAGAAAACATTGTTAATGGGTGTTAAACATGCTGACAAAAAAATACGTATCTGGCTAGTTTTGTCACTATTGTCTGCACAGACCCTAAGGGCTCCATTGTTACCAAAGAGCCTAAAAGGAGCTACTTGATTTTTGGGAACATTTAGAGCAGCCAGATCCTTCTGCAAATCTAAACAACTTTTAAACAGAAACAAAGATCATCTGCACAACTGAAAAATAAGAAGTTTGGATGCCAGGACCTTTGACTACAGATGATCTGTGTGGAAAGACATTTAATATTGGAAACCAGTGGACAATTATTTTGCATATTTGGAAACATTCTGGGCAAAGAAGGAAAAAGATCACATGCCCAAAATACACATTCTGCTTGTTTACATGATAAAGCAAGGAAACTTGAGCTCCTGCACTGGATAGCATCTGCATGAGTACATACAAAATGCAGTCCTCTGTGAAAGGAGCACGTGAGTTAGTCTGCTGGCTGTGAGGTTTATGCTAGAGTTTAATGGACTGCAGAGGACTGCACTAGATTGTATCAGGTTTGCAGACTGCGGCAAGTCTTTTATCAAAGGCAGCTGTATTCTTTCATAAAATCAAGAGCTCAAATACTTCCCATATTCATAAAAGGGCATAGGAGAAGAGGGGATATAGTCAGCATAACCTTTGACCAATAATTTTTAGCATATATTGAAACGATGCAGAATAGCTTGCTAAATAAAGAGATAAATAAGAAAGTCCCTGTTGATCAAAAATTTCTCTGGAAAATCTCATTTATATTGTCATGAAGCCATAAAAATAATTTTTAGCTGCAGCCAATGAATAGAAACCGAGATGCTGCAAAATTAAGCACTTAAATAAAATTCTAAAAATATAACATGTTTATTGGAGGGGAGAAATGGCAGTCCAAGACTTTTTTTTTTAAGCAATATTGCAATCAGTGCTTATCTTCAGGCATTAAGTTCAAAACTGTAATTCCAGTGAAAGAATGGACTGCATTCATTCCTGGTGCAACTTGTACATTGCCARACACACAAATAATGTATGATAGTAATGGTGTAATAYTCTTCAAGCCATTGGAGGCAGCCCAAAGTCAATCTTGTCCCATTACTTGAGAGAGAGAGAGARAAAAAAAAAGTGTTGAATGCTCTGAATTATTTAAAGCCAGCTCTGCCTTTTCTCTTGAGGTCTGGCAAATGCTCTTCCCGGGATCAATATGTTTTATTCAAATAAAAATGGAGCAATTACAACTTACACYGTTGCTCTATCACCATATTTCCTGGGTCCGGCATTGAGTTTGAGATGTTCTTGGATGATATACATCTTGCCCTCCTTTATGCTAGGACTTACACAAAAGAGAAGGGGTTGCTACTTGCAACCACACGGCAAGCATCTGTGCTAGCAATTTCCCTCCCATTTCAGCCCCAGTTCTCCGCTCTACTCAGCTTCTGCTGAGTTTAGCAGAAAGTGTCTTGAGGAGGAGCCCGTTATGCTTGCAGTACTTTCTGGTTCATTCCATTTTGGCCACAGTCCCCGAGATACGAGGGCAACACAAAAGTCAACCATACAGTAATAGGCAACTAAAATGGATAGAAAACACCAACACTAATCAACCCATCTTTGTCCTGCTGGGTGAAGGGTGCTGACACCAGATTTGGTTTTTCCCCCTCTGGGGATTCCCTTGTAGCAGGAGAAATGCCAGCTGAGTCGGGAAGGAGAAGAAAGGCCATTTCCTCATTTTGCAATGAAAAAGCTGTAGGTCACTAATTTGTACTAAGGTTACTATTTTGCAGCTGAGAGGCAGCCTGAAGAGAAGAAATCTTACCACAGTTCCAGGTAAAATATGGATGAAGTGAGGTTACAACAAAGAGCTGGAAAAAAAGTCTGATACAAGTTGGGCAGGAGTAAAAAAAGAAAGAGAAAGACAGAGAGGCCAAGAGCTATAAAGAACTTGACTTAAAAAAAAAAAAAAAAAAAAAAAAAAAAAAAAAAAAAAAAAAAAAAAAAAAAAAAAAAAAAAAGAAAAAAAAAAAAAAGAAAAATCCATGTCCTGGTCTGTCCTACATTTGAGTTATCATAGGTCAACACGCTGCAACTTGCAAAATCAGGGAAGTCTTGTTTTGCTTTGTTTTGCTTGTGTAACTGGCTGCTGCTTTTGATCTGTTTTAATTCTTTAAGTTCTTCTATTCCTAAAAGAAAAGTAATTTTAATATACCTTTAAATAAGGTCAGGTAATTATGAATGAGGAAAGCAGAAGTATGACCAGTATTAGAAGGGATAGCATAATAGAAGAYAAGCAAACCTGTTCAGCAGCATCATACCACAATTCAGATGCAGTGGGGTTGCTTCTTACAGATCCAACAAGCAATTCATAGTCTGTGCATTTGAGATGGCCTCTATCTCTGTTCATGATCAGTCCACCTTCATCCATAACAGACCAGTATGACTTTCATACCTTAATATTTATGGCTTGGAACATGACTAGATCTGGTATTTTCCTACAGTGCTTTATAACTGCAGACCACAAACTGAAACTGCCCCATCAGAATGTGCTGTTAAGAGTCACTGTATTCTGACACAATGTCTCTTCAGCACAGTCCATGGCACTGTCAAAAGCTGACAGCCTCTGTCCATCAGCTCCAGTGAAAACCCCCTGTCCCAGGCTTTGCTGCAAGAAGTGTAGCTGTGTAGTAAGTCAACAAACACCAGGGCAAAGTATAGTTGAGAGGATGGCTGGGAAGTGGGAGTATAGGAAGGAAGGACAAAGAGGAACACAAACTCAGAAGAGGTCCATCTTCTTCCCAGTTGCATATCCTCAACGCTCTTGTTACAGTCACACAGTGCTGATGAAGATAATACTGTTCCTTTTTACCTCTGCAGCTCCCAACTCTTTACAAGGCTCTGTTTTCCACTTTCCAATCCATCCACTAATTTCAATTTCATCTTAGACTGCCATCTCCCCCAAGGAATTTTGGAGGCCACGTGCCAAATCTAGCAGTCCTGTCCTTTCTAATCATTAATGGAGGTGATGAAAATCTCACAATCTACCCCAGAAATGATCAGCCACACACTTTTTGACTTAGAAATAGCACATAACAACACACTTGTGAGAAGAGTCAAAAACCTTTCCAGGTGCCTATATTAGCAGTTACTATTGCACTCTTTGAAAACCTCATGACAAATAACTTATTCCTCCTGGTTCTCTCAGATGCCAGGGCTACTCTCTGACAACCACAGAACCACAAGCATTAATGTGATTAATCACAAACAGTAAATCCTATTTCAAAGTCTGATAAGCAAAGTGAATATATAGCACAAAAGCAAGCTACCTKATTAGCAGAAAGGCTCACGCAAAATTTCACTGAATTATTTTTAAATTACACGGGATGGGTTAACACAGAAAGGATTTCATTGGTTCACTGAGAGAAGAAACTAATTGAAAATACATTGCTAGAAACACTCTTTTCTGTTTTCTTCTTTGCTAATATTTTAACACTTYAAGGATTTGTCACTGCAACAAAAGGAAAAAAATAAAACTTTTGATGTTGGTTTGATTGCATATTAATGAAAATCAATGCAAAGCCTCCCATTGGCTACAGTGGGTGTCAGCACAGGGCCTATCTGAGGTAGAAAAATGTGAAACAAACATTTATAAACAGTTACCAGATGCTGAGATTGATAAAAACATCCCACTCTCTTCCTGTTTCCACACAAACATAAAATAAATGATGAGGTATACTTATCAAATCTATCAGCGTTGAAGCAATAATAAGACACCTTTTAAAATCCCCAAATGCATACAGCTCTGCTTATTTTCTGGAAAGACCATGCCCAGACTGTGGGATAACAGAGATTTCTACTGCTGATTCCCTACTGTAAAAGCTTATGATTAATTCAACATGGAGAGCAAACTATTTATAGCCTGAACATACATTTACTGTACAAGAAATCAGAATGGAAGCGGAAAAAGGGCATAATTCATTAACTCACAGTCTGCTTCCTAGGAGTGATCATTTGCATTCCTAACTCTGAAAAAAATTAAGGTGATAAGAACAGGTAAATGCTTCAGGAAAGTCATTTAATAAGTTCCAGGAGAGGGAAATCTGCTTTGTCTGCTTAATGCGGGATGTAGATTTCTGCTGGCACAGCAGTAGCTCCCAGATTCGGGGAACTGACTTCCCTGAAGCACAAAACACTGCCCTGGCATAGCAAAAAAGGTTCAGATGCTGCTGCTAAACACAAGAACAAACCTTTATAGTTCACCTTTACAATGTCAATGGGGCTGGAGAATTTCTTAAAGGCTTAAGTTCCTGAGCGGAGATTGTAAGATATTCCACCATCAATACCTTTAAAGCCCTTGTGGGAAATCTCTGGGAGAGATGGCTGCAGACAGTGCTGTGGGCTTACGAGATTTGGTCACTTCAAAACATGCTYGTCTTTAAAAGCAATTGTCAAGATGTGTTGAACTCAAGTGCTGTTTAGTTCTGTTCACATGGCTAGCAAGCTGATTTTGAAGTGAAAACACAGGGTAGATGTCAGAAGTAGAGCAGTAAAGTTTTCTTTTTTCTAAAGAAAAAAAAATGAAGGAAAAAAAGAAAAAAAATGCCCGCAAATTCCTGTGTTTTACAGTTTCAGTTCTTCATGAAAAGTGTGCACAGATCACCATGCAAAGTTATTTACGAGTATCACATGCAGCTGTATTTCCTGGTAGTGTGCATAAGCCACATGTAGCTGTATGSTGGGTGTATAAGCCATGTAGTAACCACAGAGAATGGTGGTAAAGCAAAACCTAGAAATAGAAGCACTGATATCTGCTTCTATAAAGAATTCAGAGGGCCTGCTCATTATTACAAATGTGCCAGGCTGCTCTCTGAGGCAGGAAACCTCAGTTAAGCCATCTGTCAGCCTGACTGCTCAGCCTGTATTGAAGAGAGAAGGTTGCAATGAGGTCCAAGGCATAATCAGTAAGGCTGACATTGAGAGGGTAAAAACAAATTTTGAGAGATGAAAAGACAGACCAAGGAGCAGATACTATCCAGCAACTTTACAGGCATGTGAGGGAAAGGGACTGCAGATTAAGGTACTGAACCATTCCTGAAAATGGCAGATCATTTCATTGCCACTCATTAACCCTGCATTCTGACCATTAGACTCRCACCAGCAGTTTCTAAGCTTTTTAGTGCACATACTAGTACTTTTCCTTTACAAAACACATTTGGTTTAAGATATTCTTATAAACCCATGAAGAACTGTAGTAACAAGCAAGGTAAATGCAGAAGCACAGGCTGTTTGGAAGAAATAAGCTCCCGTTATACCATTATGACACTACACGGTACAAATCAGAATAACCACACAGAAAARAAAGTACATCAGCATATAGAAAGAACACCCTACCTCACCTTAATACACTGCGTTTTCCCTTCTCATGCATATAACAACAAAATGAAGTTAGTCCCAACATAGCACAGAGTAAAAGCTTTGACCTTTCACTTAAATATGAAAAGGACTAAGACCTTATTGCATAAAATATTATTGAGATTATTTCCAAATAACTTTGAGATATCTCTCATCCCATTGTGAAACAGCATTTGCAGAATAGTACTCTGTGAAACCTAAGAGCTATTTTCATGCACAGCATGCATGCATATGCAGCCTTTTCAGTTGGCTCCATCCTCTTCACTGAAAAGCTAGCAGAAGAGTCATTTCCAAAAATTGCCAGAAAGAAAGATCTGCTTACATTTTCCAGAAATAACACACAAATCAGAGATTAACTGGGTAAATCATCGTAAGGTACAGTAATTCTTGTCACTATGCTTTACAAGTGAAGGGCATGAGCCTCTACAGACCAATATGAATTCATTATAAATAACAAAGAAAACCATTTTTTTYCTGAATATCTAATCATGAAAATCTCATTGTTTTTAAAAAGTTTTGATGTTTTGATGTTGCTAAGCAAGGGCTGACATGTACAGTGTATATGCTGAGCTTGGAACAAGGGAGCACATGATTTTGTAGTAAATTAGCTAGGAATTAGTGATTAGTAAACACTATTACATACACCTTTATCTCATATACAGCCAACACATGTATCTTCATGACATGTACTATCATAAACATGTTTAATAACTAAAGACCTTTAAAAAAGCTTTTCTGATAAGTAGCAATTGCCAGAATTTCATCTCTGTTTAATTCATATAGAATTACTTGAATAATTGATTTCTCTTCTGGAACATAACTCCAGATAGGCAGGCACTTGTATGCTTGTTTTATATATCTCTTTACTTTTGAACTCCAAGTCTGGACTGTCAGAGTTGCCTGATCTGCATTTGAAATTTCARAATTTGCTAATTCATTGCATTCAATAGACTGTTCTTTAAAATGTGATAGGAATCTGCTGAACTAATTCCCTGCTGTTCTTAAATCTGAAGTGAAATCATTTCCAATGATTATTGCCCTATTTCTTAGAAATTCAGGTTTAAGATACTATATTCCACGTCCTGATTCTCCTTCATACATGCTTACAAGGTATATCTCACATACTCTCCTATGATCAAAGAGACTCTAGTTGAAAAACTGTATCCTTGATAGATATCAATAACTATATCAGTATTAATTCATTGTTCAGCACATTATACACAAAGTAACTTTAAGGTACAAAAACTACAGAAAAAAAATCTCCCATTATCACGCCATGGTGATTTACAGAAAAACATTGCAGTGATTTTAAGTGGAAAATAATTCTTTCAAAAGAGGTTTTTTTTTTTTCTTTATGGAAGCCCTGCTAATCCTTAGGATTTGTATATCTTTAAATACCAGTTGTAAAAGATGCTAACATCTTCCTACTTAAATAGCTATAAATAAACAAAGAAATAGGTCATATTTCTGTACAAGTACACACAAGTTAGGGTCCTCTCCATCCCCACAACAATTATTGCCTGCAATTCCCCCTTCCTGGATACACAGTACACATTCATGCACAAACTGACTGCATGTCTGCCACAACCCTAGGATACAAACAATTAAAAATATTTGCAAAATGCTCGTTTTGTCCACCATAATTATTCTCTCTGGTGGGATATTTCTGGATTTGGCTTCATTAAACATGACACTGTATAAAACCTACACACCAACTGCAGACTAGCTGCATACTTTACAGAAAGCAGCTATTAATTTCTCACCATGGGCAAGTATTGAAGAGGTTAATATACTGCTGGTGAAACCATAGGAATTAAACACTTTTCAATATCAGCCCAGCAGGTTAGAAGTTGTTACACTGCAACATAACGATGATAGCTTGCTATAACGTTCTAGAAAGATGCCACAGGATTGTCACGGTCCAGAAAGTGCAAAATTTAGTACAATGCAGAACAAATATTGTTGAGAGACTGAAGTTTTCAGAAATACACCCACATTGGTAAGCAAAGCACATTACTGTAATGATTTAGCTCCAACAACTTTGCCTAGGTATGAAATCAATAAAGTTGCAAATATCTATAATTGCCATAAAAAGCCTATTGATTTCCAGGCTAATCTCTTTATATTTTTCTTTCAATATATATATYGCATTAAAAATGTAAGACCACGTGCGCCATACCCTAGTGCTCTGTGACAGCAGGCAGTTTTAGATCTCTAGAAGAAAAAGGCAACTCTGTATTTAGCATATGATGAAAAAAAAAAAAAAGCTGACAAAAAAAAAAAAAAAAGCTGACAACAGACACACCTACTGAACTTACCAAATGGACCCTGAAAACCACAGTATTTACCTAGAAACAAAATGCATTGCACAGATTAAAACTCCTTAGAGACGGGTTTTGTCGTTGTGTGTCAGCAAACCCAAAAGGGCATACAAGGAAYTTGGCCCTTCCAGACTGAATCTCCTTTTAAGCATCAACTTGCCCAGAGCACAGGTCATTATCGGTGGAGCCTCACCTCGTTAGGAGTAATGGAGCCATTTTTAAGTATGATCAGGTTTTGTGCACTTTGCCCACTCTGTCCTGTCAGATGCCTCTCAGCCATCACTGCAGAGGGACCAGTTCCTGTTGGGCCACAGGTATTGTAAAACATAAAAGTGTCACTTCCCGATCCTGCAGTTAGGCATGCCTTATAGCAGTAGGTCTTAGTGAGAGACCCGTTGCCCCTCACTTCAATGAAATGGGGCTGCACTTTTAAACCGGGGGGCAACCTAGTGTCAATGTTGTTGTTGGCCTGCTTATACATTTCAGCAGGGCACCGTTCTCTGACCCCACAGAAACCGGCGCAGCAGGAGTCCCCATACAGACTATATCTGTAGCACTTGATAATAATAAGCCCAATAATTGCGAAAAGGAAAACGAAGGAGATGGCGCTCAAAGCGATAATGAGATAAAGAGTGATTTCYGAGTAATTCCTCGTACTTTTAACGTGCCTTCTTGTGTCAGGGATGATTTTGGAAACTCTGTCCACCACAGCAACATTGATGGCCACTGATGAAGACATCGCTGGCTCTCCATTGTCCCTCACCTCCACCGTCAGGTTGAAAGTAGGTGMGCTCTCTTCCCCCAGTTTGCGAGTAGTCCTAATCTCCCCACTATGGAGCTCCACTCTGAAAAGATCTGAGTCTGAGGTTTGTACCAGGTAGAAAAACAACCAGGCATTTTGCCCTGAGTCCCCATCAATAGCTATAACTTTGGTTACCAAATATCCAGCATTTGCTGAGCGTGGGATCATCTCCAGGGCTGCTGAAGTGTTGGTTGAGGTAGGATACAGGATCTGTGGAGCATGGTCATTTTCATCTGTGACATAAATGTAGACAGTGACTGTGCTGCTCAGTGGTGGGATCCCAGCATCCTGAGCCTGGACAACTAGTTGGAACTCCCTTAGTGTCTCATAGTCAAAGGAGTGGACAGCATATATGTTACCACTATCCGATTTAATAGAGACATAGGAGGTGACAGGTAGCCCTTCGATCTCCCCATCCAGTAGAGAATAGGATACATAGGCATTTTTGGCAACATCCGGGTCGGTGGCTTTGACAGTGCACAGTAAGACCCCAAGGGGGTTGTTCTCAGGTATGTAAACTGAGTACGCAGGTTCCTCAAAGTGTGGGGGGTTGTCATTGATGTCAGAGATCTCCACGTGGATCACCTTCTGGGAAGAGAGAGGGGGCCTCCCAGAATCAGTAGCCGTAACTGTGATGTTGTAGGATGCTGCCTTCTCACGGTCCAGGTTGCCCTGAGTGACCAGGGTATAGGAGTTCTTGAAGGAGTTGAGGGTGAAGGGGAGGCCAGGGGGGATACGCAGGCCCACCTGCTTGTTCAGTCCTGAGTCCTGGTCAGTGACGCTCATCAGGGCTACCACAGTTCCTGCCTTTGCATCCTCTGGTACTGGGCTGTACAGGGAAGTCAGCTCCACCTCAGGAACATTATCATTAGCATCCACAATGTTGACYAGCACTTTGCAGTGCCCAGCCATGGAGACAGGGCCCTGGTCAGTGGCTTGCACATAGATCTCATAAAAAGATGCTTCTTCATAGTCCAAGGTACCATTAACCCTTACCTCCCCCGAGCGTGGGTCCACACTAAAAAGCTGTCTCACCTTCTGCGGTGTGTAGCTGCCAAAGGAGTAGATCACATCCCCATTGGAGCCCTCATCAGGGTCTGAGGCATTGAGCTTGACTACTAGTGTGCCAGGTAGGGCATTCTCCAGGAGRCTCACGGTGTAAGTAGAGCGATCGAAGGCAGGTGGGTTGTCATTAGTGTCCACAACCCGTACAGAGATCTGGGCTGTGCCAGACTTGGGGGGGTCCCCACCATCCACAGCAGTGAGCACCAGCTGCTGCAGGGCACTCTGTTCCCGGTCCAGTGGCTGCTGCAGCACCAACTCTAGGAGTTTGCTYCCCCTCTGGAAGCCTTTGAGATCCAGGGCAAAGTGGTGGCTGGGGCTGAGCTGGTAGCTCTGCACGGAGTTGGTACCAACGTCAGGGTCCTGGGCACTCTCGATGTGGAAGCGGGCCCCGGGCACAGCAGACTCACTTATTTCCAGCCGGTAGTCCTGGCGAGGGAAGCGTGGCGCGTTGTCGTTGATGTCCAGCACCTCCACCTCCACGTTGTGCACCTCGATGGGCTGCTCAATGATCAGCTCCAGGTTGAGGAAGCACGAAGGGSTCAGCTCGCAGAGCACCTCCCGGTCCATGCGTTCCCGCACCAGCAGCACCCCGCGCTTTGCCTCCAGCTCCAGGTAGTGCCGCCCGCTGCCCGAGGTGAGCCGCGCTCCCCGTGCCGCCAGGCGCCGCGGATCCACGCCCAGGTCGCTCGCCACGCTGCCCACGAAGGCGCCGTGCGGCAGCTCCTCCCGCACCGAGTAGCGGAGCTGCCCGGCGGCCGCGCGGCCGCTGCACAGCCCCAGCAGCACGAGCAGCAGGCCCGCCGCCGCCATGGCCGGGCGTGGGGAGCCCGGAGCCGCCTCGCCCGGCCCTGGCCCGGCCTCACGCCCCGCCGCCCGCTCCCGGCCGCTTCATGCAAGCGGCCACTCGCTGCCGCCGACCGCCTCCGGCCCCGTCGCAGCCGCCGGCCCCATCGCAGCCGCCCGGTCCATGCTGCCCGCTGCCCGAGACGGCGGCTCCGGCCTTTCTCCCTCCGGCGGCTCGGGGGAGGAGGAAGAGGAGGAGGAGGAAGGAGGAGGGACCGGGTGTCGCTGGATCCGCTTTCTCCTGCTCCAGCTGCTGCGCGGGAGGAGGCGGGGGAGAACGCTAAGCCGCGGCTGGCTCCGATTCAGCACCTGGGCAGGGAACAGCGGCAGTRAGGCCGGCTTGGGGCCGGGAGAGGGAGGGCCTTGGGCAGCCAGCCTTCCTCTTCCTCCTCTTCCTCCCTGCGGCTGGGCACAGCTCGCCCACGCTTCCCCGAGAGCCCCTTCTCCTGCTCCCCAGAGAGAACGAGGCCGAGCCCCACTGCACCTGCTGCCCCAGCAGCACCGTCTGCACCCACGAGTTGAGCCGGGCCTCCTCCGGTGCCGTAGCCACCCGTTGGGGGGGCGGYTGGGGGGCGCCCCCACAGCGGGAGGGGAGCGGAAGGCGGCTGCACCGGCCCGCTCAAACCATGGGGGAAGCACCAACTGCCCGCACTTGTGGACCTGCTACTGCAGTGCAAAAACGCATCCGCCTGGGAGGCTTAAATCAGCGCAGGGATCCAGAAGGAAAAAAAAAACTTGGGCCTCGAGCCAGGTCTGGTGCTTTTGCTGATGCTGTCTCCGTGTTGCTGCAGTACGTCTGATGACCTTCTTGGAGAGCTGCCCCTCTGCTCCCTCGGAGCTTCATCTGCTGCAGTACCGACCTCCTGCCCAGGCCCTATGGCCCCTCTTGTCACACTTCCAACTTCCTCTGCCACAGCATCTCTCTCTCTCTCTCTCTCCCTTGCTGCAGCAGCCATGCTCTGACAGCAGCATGACTGAGTGAATTCTGCAAGTCACATCCAGGACTTATGAGTATTTAAGGGGGGCTTCGGTTTCTCATCCAGTGCAGCGTAAAGGCTCAAGGTGATCTTGGCCAGTTGGAGAAAAGACGTTGGTGCAAGAGTAGCTGGTTTCCAGTTACCACTTCTTCCTGCTCTGCCCTCACAGTGGACAGCCAGGCAAAACCAAATCAGGGCAATGAAAYATGAAACGGAGCAAATTCAGCAGTGACGGGGCAGGGCGGGAGGGGAGAGGGAAGGCATACAGCCGTGCACCAAGACTCCTGAAAGTTTTACCATGATCCCACAACTGCTGACAATAAACTTCGATGTTTGTTCATACAGCAACTGAATCAGCAACCTGACATGTTCAATGAGACAAATCAAAGAACATGGTCCTCCAGGGGTGCAACTAAGTTGTACCTATTACCTACWGCAGAAATTGCTTCTCCACCAGGATTTTTTACTTTCCTGTTGTTTTGTCCTTGCATGCCCCATGTAATCTTCTGTAATGACTAGTGAGTCCTTCCTGGATTGAGTTGGTCTCTCAAGGGGGCTGGGGACCCCAATGTTCAGTTAAAAGGCCTCTCATTGCCCTTAGAGGGCCTGGACATCCATTATCACGTAGGGTGTCTACTGAGAGCATCTTGGGCTATAAACCCTAAGCTCATGCACAAACCTCAGAAAAGTTGCCAGCTAAGAATGACTATCCATCTATTAGCTCTTATCAATGACCACTATTATCAGAACAACATTAAGAACAGGATTACCCTATTTATTTAACTGATAAGCTGATTTATCTCTCAGTACATTTTTTTTTTTTTTGCACCCCAAGTAATTGTCCTTGTGCTTATACACATGTCCAGTACCTATGGATCTGCAAATACTGCTGTGGCATGACCCAACTTGCTTATATTTTTAAGTAGGACAATGTATCCCTGGGAGAAGAAGAGGGGCAGGTAAAGCTGCCAAGTGCCTAGTACATCTGGAAACTTGCCTGTTTCATCCAGTTGCCTAAATAGGAGCCAAACATTCAAAGAAAAAGAAAATAGGCCTTGGATCTTTGGCTAAACACTTGCCTTCAAGAACATGATATTTCAAAGATGCAAAGCAAAATGCCCTGAGGTCCTCATGCAAAAACTGAAATTCATATTTGTAGCCATTTTGGAATTTTGGAATGCATATGCAACACTAATACAAGCAGATTAGGTCTGTGTAAAAAACAGCTTGCAATCATACAAAATCATACAAAACAAAATCATACAAAATCATATAAAACACAAATCTGAAGGGATATATATATGTTTTATATATATATATATATATTTATATATATATATATAAGGCCAAATACTAGCTTTGTCCAGGCAGTCCACAGGGCATTTCTGACGCACACTTTCAAAAAATGTATGGCCACAAAGTCCTCTAACAAATAGTAAAATACCAAAAGTCACAAAACCACAGTGCAGTAGGGATGTCGAAGGGGCACTRGCGACATCTCAGGCCCTAAGGAATGTATTTAGCAGAGGTCCTGGAAATGGCAGTGCCCATGCTAAAATAGGGTGGAAAACAAAGAGTTGTTTAATCATGACATATGAACAAATCACATGGATTTAAATATCAGCCAAGATTCTTCCCTTTTACTTAGCTCCTAGAACCCAATTATTTACTCCTTTAATACACACTCAGGTTTCATGCTATTATATACCAGCCAGCACCCCCAGGAAAGAAAGTCCAAAGAACACCAAAAACTTGCTGCATAAACTCACTGTTTACATGCCACCCTGGTTCATCTCACTTTATATTCRCCATCCCACTCTGGATAAATAGGACTGTGCATGTCAGAAATCTGGCAAAACATCACAGAACGTAAAACAAATATTCTTTGACTCTTTGTCTCCTACTTTCAGAATCGTATCATTTGGCTTCTGGCCTTTTCTGGAAGTTTTATAATACTAATAAAATAAATACTTTGATTTCTGTTTTATAAATTAATGTCRTAGTTTGGCTGGTTACACTAACAGCTAGTAGCACTAGCAGCTTTTTTTTTTTCTGAAAATAGCTTTATTTAATGCTGACCACATACAATTTATATGTGAGAGACTGAAACTTGTTCTGTTCTGATTAAATATTCCCTGAGTTAGTTTAAGTCTATGTAAAATACACAAATGGATATTTTAACTTTACTTATATTCACTATTTCCAATACTAATGCTGAATTCATTTCTGCATATGCTGAATTCAGTCCTGTAGAGCTTTGTTTTTAATTCAGTAAAAAAATCAGTTCAGAAAACTCAGTTCAGTTAATTCAGTAAAAAAATCAATTGAGAAAAGATTTCAGGATATGGTCTGTAGTAAAACTAATTTTTGCAGTGTAAGGCAAAGATTGAATCACAGGAAAACATAATTTCAGTTTCAACTGAATTTGGTTTGAGGGCTTGGGGTTTTTTTTTTTGTTTTGTTTTGTTTTTTTGTTGGGCTTTACTGACATACAAAAATTGTGTGATTTGAATTGGTTTAGTTAAGGTAAATCATACTAGGCCTTTAAAGTGAATACGAACATATGGGTGTAGCAAAGAATTTTAACTTTTTTTAACATTTTRACAATTATTACAGATGAAAAATATGTGTTTATTCTAGAGATTGTAGCCATATAAGAATTTCAGTGTAGAAACTCCTCATATTACTAACTGAAGCAGTTATACACATAGATATGCTTGAATTAATAACAGCATAATACACTGAAAGCCTAAACAATATTTCTCTGTAGATATTTCTCTCAGGAGAGATAATAATTATACAGAGATATAACTCTGAAAATRCATGGCAGTTTCAAAATTCCTCCTTTTCAAATGTCACTTGTTTTTATGCTATGTTTTTATGCCACTTTCAAATGCCACTTTATTTAATATTGTTATTAGAATCACCTAATTTGATTGAGCACAGTTTCATTTCAGTTCAATTTACTTCATTACAAACAACTGTGTAGGGTCCATCCCCTGGTTACTTCTATGAGGCTCACAGCAAGAGGAGGAAGAGATTTCAGGAGRAAAAAAAAAAAAGAATGTGACTGTGCAACAGGTTAATTAAAGAACTCCAGGGACTTGTAACAAATGAAAAGGCATTTTCATTTCAGATTTTAAATAACTTCACCTGTTAMGTTCACTGAATGTCATTCAGCTTGTCAGCTCTATTCTGAGCTGACAAGAAGTCAACAACTCCAAGGATCAGACTTTAGATTACTGCATGAAGTTTTCTAGGCATGTAGCTTTTTTAGCAACAAAGAGACTTAAATAAACACTATATAAACTCTTGGCTCAGATTCTGCTTACAAATAAAACAATGTACAAAAAAATAAGGAAGCAGGTCTGGGGAATTCATTGACAAGCAAGGTGCGTCATTCTCYAGAAAAATCTGGATTTTATCTCTGCATATGTGTGTGTGTGCAGCCATGCACACATGTGGGCCTAAGATTGTCTCCCTTACTTAGAATTAAATCAAGTCAAGAGGAATGGTAAAACCACCAGTCACAGCCCAGATTACAGCAATCACAGTGGAAAACAATACTCAAAACTGTAAGGGAATTACTCTAACTTGTGGACTTTTAAAGGTTCTGATTAATATGCTTTCCCTCACCATCACTACATCTCTCTCCAGAATCACAATCTTTGTTACTCTTCTCTCCACACTGCATTTCTTTAACTCAAGCCGTCACCACTAAATTTCAGTTCAGCGAACTGTGTGTTGCTTTATTCAGCTTACTAAACAAGATCTTCTATTAGGCTTAGGATGGTCCTAACAATCTGTAAGTCTCTAGTGAAGACTCCTGAGCTCTCCCAATTTGAYATCCTATTGGACTGGCAGCTTTAAAATTCCCACTGTTCTCTACTTGTTCACAGCCTGGTTGTTAAATACGTGTTTCCCTTCCTTTCTCTCCAGACTTCTTCCTAAATATGTTTCATATGTCTTTATTTCTAATCCTAGCTTAACTTCAACTTCTCAACTTTTCCACTCAGTTCCTCTCACATTGCTTTTTTCCCACATTTCTCTTCCCCTAGTATCCTACAATTTTTATTCCTACTCTTCCAGATGTAAAAGAAATATAGCATTCCAAAATGATGCTGATAAGGGCTGCTGATGTCACCTTTTTTCCTTCTTTTTTTTTTTTTTGTCTATATATATCAAGTAAAGGAGGAAGCTAAGCATCAAACAGTGGCATTAAACCAACAGAAACTGAGACCTAGGTATAAAGATAGACACCTAGAGACAAAAGTACAGGCAAGGTGTAATATGAGGAACAGTCACCTTCTTTGCTGAGAAATACTGAGAACA